TAAACCAGATGCACAAAATAGTTTCATAGGGCATGAAAGATGGCATAATGCTTAGAGATACAAGAACACAAAATGAAAATAGGGAAATGAGAGAGGGAATTACTTAGAAAGATGAAAGGGAAAAAATGAGAAGGGGCCCTTTAATGCTGGAAAACATGTATATATTTAACACAGAGAATTGTAAAAGGGTATACTGTATTCTTTATATTAAAAAGTAGAATTAAATTGAAATAAGGGAGCCCTAATCAGGATAAAGATGCAATATGGTGGTCTTTCATTTTAGGTAAACTAAACTAGATATAAAGCTGGAGTATGGACCTGGAACTACCTTTAATAAGAATGTTATTAGAAGACCTGAGAATATTGTATATTAGGAAAGTAGTGTTATGATAATAGCCATACTATATATCAAAATATGTATATGAACGGTTTGAATGTTTGAAAGATGTTTGGAATCTGGGGGATAATTGGCAAGATACTGAGATGCAAAAAACAAATAACTGTAAGCAAATATGTAACACAATGTTTGACAAGCACAAACTAATCTAGATAGGTTGAAAAACTAATAAAATGTTTATAAAAATAAAAATAATAAAAAGAATATTCTGCTTCCCCTGAGAACAGGAAAAAAGTCTTAACCAGTGAAAGCCTGTTATTGTCATGGAAAAGAAAAAAAATTGCTCCTCATAGCATTTTCTCAACATCTGTTTTCACTGAATACAGTATTCACTTTTCACCACTCTTGGGAGGCTGTCCTAATCTTGGAATCCTTGCTCTCCATAATTCTCCAGAGTCAGGGCTGAGTTTTTGATTATAGCTTCCAAATATTGTACCCCCAGCCAGCAGGGCCTATAGCTAGACAAGTTGGGAGGTTCTTATAATCTTCAAAAGAATGATATATTCATTATGAATGTATGGTCTCTCCACCCAAACACCATTTAAAGATGACCTAACAACCACCTCACTGCAGTTTTCTGTCCAGTGCAAGTACTTTTTTTGACTTGTTCACTTAGCCAGCTTCAAGACTGACTGGGAGCTTCAGCTTTACGGGAGATAGCTTTATCCAAAAGACTAAATTCCAGTTCACCCAGTTCATCATATAATGTCTTACTGTTTGCAAGAAGAACAGAGGTTCACCAGATAAAGCAATTCATTGTATCGTTGCCTGTCCCATTTTGGACAAGTGGCAAAGAAACGTGTCTGAATGTTTTGTCTGACTATGGAAAATACCCTAAGTAGTTGCACCAATCAGTTAACTAAAGCCAAGCAAGGAGATCTACCTTCACTCAGGAAGGACTGCGCTACATGGAGGATGACAATCTTCTTCCAACCAGGAGGTAGTACTCTTGATTTGGCCCCAGTTTACTGTCTCATTGCCTAAGTAGCTGACTAAAGTTAATTGCCTAGTTTTCTGATTCAGAGATGGCCACATCTTTGGATGCTTCTGCTTCCAGCCACCCAGAAGCTAAATATCCAAGTATGAAGCAATGGGAAAGACGCTGAGTGCAGTCCTTTATCTGTGGGGATGGAAAAAGACAACAAAAGCTATATTCTCTGGAGTGAAATCTGACATCTGAAGCTGATTCTACAGGTTTGCAGCCTTCATTTTGGACTTCACTTTAAATTAAGAGATATGGCCTTTAATCATTTTTCCCGGATGGTGAGAGGAAGATTAAATTGTATGTGTGTCTCTGAGGGAGAGGGAGAATGAGCTAGGGCAAAACTTTCTTTTCAGAGGTACTTTGTTTCTCAATCTGCAATCCATTTTATATCCCCTTACACCCAAATAAGCATTTTAGAGTAGTACTTTGTCTTCTGCTGTTCAGAGTGTGAGTTGAAAACAGAGCAGCGAGACAACGCAGAAGTAATGACTAGAAGATATAGGAGTACTCCCTATATTAATAGAAAATAGAAAGGTGCCCCACACTGCTTTGCAGGAGAGCTTATCCTGACTTGTGTGGCAAGGGGACAGAAGGGAATTCTTCATACTCTTCCTGATGTAAGCCCCTTCTGTGATACTTCACTAATGTGTCTGACTGGAAACAGAGGATATGTTTCCTAAAGCAATATGGTAGCTTATAACTATCATTTTAACTCTCTTCTTAAAAGAGTCTCCAATAAAATGTATTTTTAGGTTATGCTGAGAGGGTGTGACTGCCACAAGATCACCAAATGCGTTTCATGGCGAAGTATGGATATGGCGTCAGATCTCTTAGTTGAACACTAATCACTACATCCAATGGCTCTCAATATCACTCTGAAAAATCTCCATAAAATAATAATTGCACTGTAATTAAATTGACAAAATAAATCATCGGAAGAGTGTCTTATCAGTCACGTTCAAAATTAATTGGAAAATAAAATATAATTTTCAATTAAGTGAATGGTATGCAGAGGTATGGAATATAACTACTGAGTTTCCCCCAAAATAAGACAGGTTCTTATATTAATTTTTGCTCCAAAAACGCATTAGGGCTTATTTTCAGGGGATATATATATATTTTTTGATGTACAACAATCTACATTTATTCAAATACACAGTCATGTCATCTTCTTCTGGTTCCCGCACAATGGTGGAGGGTGGGGTTTCACTTATACTACGAGCATCCTGAAAAATCATCCTAGGGCTTATTTTCAGGTTAGATATTTTCGGGAAAACAGGATATTAGTGACAAATTAACATGTAGTATTAAAGTAAAGAAAGGAGTGCTTAAAAGTTATACTTTTGCAGAAATTTGGGGAGATTTTATTCATTATGTATTAATAAAGGGGAAGGGAAGAGTACCATTGCAAAAACATTAGAATTTTGAAAGTGGAATCCTTGAAATAAAGGAAAAGGCCAAGCTGTCTCCATTGGTCCTGGTAGGGGGGGAGCACATTATTTGAATTTGTTTTGTGTATAATTATTATGTTTTATTTGTTTTTACTATATGTTTTCATGTAATAAAATAAAGTTTTTTAAAAATCATTGTCCATGGATTATAGTGCAAGTACTGACTTATTCTTCTCCCTCTATCTAGACTACAATTCACCTCAGTTATTGCAATGGTAACCTGAACATTGCTTTAAAAATGTTTCCGTTAAAGGTTAAAGATTCAGACCTTCAGCTGTTTTTCCAATTTCTGGGCAAGCAGAAGAGCTTCTGCTTTTAACTTTTCTGTCTGTTCCAGTTCTGCACGAGCTTCTTCATTTTCACATTCTAACTGCATCCTCTGCATCTTTCTCTACAAAAGCATAAAGCAAAGAAAACGTGCGGGGGCATGGGGAGAAATGAATGTGAAGTTAGTCACTTCGAGAAGGGCTTTTCTGAATGCTTGCATTTCAGAAAGAACAGATATGTCACCTTTTCTTCTTCATTCATTTTTTTCTTGTAGCTGTAAATCCAGTGTGCCAGGAAACTGATTGGATCCACTGGCTGGCGGTCTGCTATTTCAGCAAGTCCCTCAGCTAAGCATGTTCCAACACATCTCTTGAGGTATTCAGCATCCATTCCCATCTTGCACAGAACCCTGCATGGATAAAATGGATTGGATTGGCTCTTACTGCATTATGATAATGTTCTGATCTGGCAACTAAAATTACCTCTGTTAAGATTATTCTTGAAAAAGAAGCTGTGCCCTATCTCCAAGCAACAATAATCTGTGTTGGCACAGAATAAGTGCCAAATTCCAAATTGAGACAATACCTTTATTTTACATGATCTAAACAGATGTGTGTGTGCTGTCAGTGCTAACTTCATCTCAGCGCTTTCAGCTGGAAAGCTCTGGTGAGCATTCATTGTCTTTTCAAAGCGCATTTTGTTCTTGTTTCACTAGAAACACAGAATGGTGTGTGTATGTACACCACCAAGCAAATGGTGCTCTTCTGCCAGCACACTACTCTGTGTGAAACAAGGCTGCTATCATGTCATTCCCACATGCTAAGAAGCAGTTAGGAAGGTAAAGGGCACCACACAGACAAAGTGGAGCAGCAGAGGGAGGATGAAAAGACTGGATCAGCTACTTTATATTTACACAACACACAGCACGTATCAGACTAGGTGTAAAAAATTATGTGCTAGCTCACGGAAGAGGTTACAGAAAGCGGATTGAGTAGAATATAGAACGGTGACCTCCATGAAATCTTGCATGGAATTACAGAAAAGATGTCTACAAATATTCAGCATTCAAAAGCTTGAAGCTTCAACAGGTGATGTTTTAGGTTTCATCCGAGATAATCTCTAGGAATGCAGAGGGAAGGGAGAGGGAAGGAAAATTTTATTTCTTTATTTTTCAAAATATAAAATCCATTTCTAGACTCAGAAATGCTTTCAACTTAGGATAAACCTCAATGTTGTATTTATGGATAGAAAACAACAAAGGTAGGTAATCTTTATTTCAAAAAGGCTTTAGATGATTTTAGATGCTGGACTGAGTAATATATGCTAATATGGAGTATTCTTGTTATGGCTAAAACAGATCTCTTTACTTATCTCGGACAGCAATTCTTATAATAATTTCCCAAGAAAGAACATTTTTAACACTGTATCACAGATGAGGGTAATGAAACTGCATATAAACTACACAAACACTGATTCTAAATATGATGAAACATGAAATAGATGAAGTCTTACCTATCACCAGATCAAAATCAGCTTTGGAGTATAGGATACAAAAATGTTAAGCAAATAAAAAAGGCTTCAAAATTTTGCAAGCATTGATGAGTTTTTTTTAAAAAAAAAGTTACAAAAATTGACTAAAAAAACAGAGATACCTTTTTAAAAAACAGATTATGCTAATAAATACATAAATCTCTGAATCTGTTCAGAAATGCATGTGGGACAATCAATCTATTTTTAAAAAGTTCTTAAAATCACATTGATACTATTTCTTGAACATTTTATGTACTGTATTGTATTCAACAGCCCAAACTCCCTCTTTCCCTTTCCCTATTTCTCCCCATAAACTACATTCACCGGGATAGGTTGCAAAATGATTTTGATCTTTTAAGTGTTGTTAATTTAAAAATTCTCACCCAGACTATTCTGCTCGGGCTCGCGATCACGCAGGAACTCTGCCTCCCCGTTGCCTAGCAACTGGACGCATCGCTCCTGAACTTCCTACCCAACAATATTACGTCACAATGCTTCGCCTTTACGAAGCGGGGAGCGGCCATTTGATTGGTTTAGCGGCCGAAATAAATCTGTTACTCGGGAACAAGACCCATTGAAAATGTGACTTCTCAGTAAACACGGATATAGGGATTGCGTGAGAACTTGTGCGCTCTCTCTTTTCGCTTCTCTGGGCCACAGCGATACGAGGCAAAATTAATCTGTTATGCTTTTTTTCGGCAGGCTAGGAAAGACTAACTGGACGCCACTTCTTCCGTTGAATTAGGACCTTCATATTATTTTAATATTTTAAATATTACAGGAGAAAGAAGTGCAACATACAAAAAAAATATCATGTTTATACAAATGAATAGGATTTGGAAATACTGTATTTGTTGCCCTGAGGACTGCTGTTGAGAGGAGCCAATTCAGGTGCATTCTCTGCTGGCCAAAATATGTTCTGTTTTACAAAAAGTCTCGAGACTCTTGACACATTTTAAAACTGAGGTGTGTGTGATAATTTCCACTAGAACATCTTCACCAACTGTTTACTCCGAGAATAAAAGAAGCTGTATTATCCTCTAGGAATTACAAAATCCACAGCAGGATGCCCCAGAAACACTATTAGGATCAATCACAGTGCTTCAAAATAGTGAAGAAGTCTTCAAATTATCTGAAACTTTTCACCAGGTTGGATGTTAAGGGGATGGAGGAGCCAGGAGAAAGTGGCTTGATTTTAGAAACTAAAAGACTTCACTTTTTGGTCATAGTTTTAATGTAAACTGCAAGAAACAATAGCTGTGGTTTTATGCAGGTACAGTAGCTTGGTAAATATAACTTTAATAAAATTTATAAATGTTTTAAAAGTATGATGCCTATATACATAAAAATACCACAGATTTTTGTCTGCCATCATAATCTCTGTATTGAAAGGAATTGCCAGGTCAGTTCTTTCATTTGTGTTAGAATCTATGGCATTTACAGTTCTCCATTAATCAAAAATAGTTGATCACTGTTTATAACTCACTGGTAGGGATTAAGGCTTACTGTATCGCGTTTTAACCACTGCGCCACGAGGATTAAGGCTTACCGTATCTACAGTATATGGGATGGTTTGGAGCAGGCTTAATAAAACTCTTCCTCTGCTTTGTTGAGGGGCAAAGGGAGAAAAAAAACCCACTGTATTACGGCAACACTGATATGCTGTATATTAAAAAATTGTAAAAAAAATCAAAAATTTCCTCCTGGAAGTGGGAGGAGACAGGAGAGGGAAACAAGTCCACCCCCCCACCCCCTTTGTGACTTGTCTTAGATCAGCTCAAGAACTTGTCCTCTGAATTCACCACTTGCTGGCAAATCAAACAGTGGTCTAAATGCCCATCTGAATGCACCCTTAGCTACTTTTCCAGGATTCCCAATGCAAAGTCCAGTGCAAGCAGAAAGCTTGCTGAGTACCTACCCCACAGAGTTTGGGTTGAATTTAAACAATCAGCATGTCTTCTTGTTGTTGAAAAAAGCATGAATATTGTGGCATAATTGGAAAATCCACCATTTTTTTAAAATTAGAATTTATCCAGGAAGTTTGTACTGTCTGCAGTGCAACTCAATTTTGTAAATTAACAGTCAACCATGAATATTTAGTATTAAGAAATTCAGCATGGGAGGGAAAAGACGTTTTTAAACTAGACGGAGAATACCAAATAAGTATGTTTTCACAGCTCACAATGTCTGAGCTGATTATATGATTAAATATTAATGAGCAAATCTACCATTGTTGCAACTTCATCAGTGTACATTTTGAGAATGATTCAGCTCAGGTCAAGCCAATACATTTTGCTCCTTAAAGCAAAGGGCAGGATGGTACATGTTCTCTTCCTTTACATATACAACAGGTGAGCAGACTTTTAATTGACTCATATTTGACCACTGGTGAAATGGAGTTTGTCTTCCGCTGCACCTTAGGGATGCAAGACAGGTTGTATAGTTCCTGTTGCCCTCTCTTTTAAAACCCTGCTGCAATTCTCTATGCAGGATCTGGCAACTGAGACAGCTACCTCACTCTGCCTAATGATAGGCCCATTCTGGATCTAGCAAAGGGCAATCACTCTTTGCTACTTCTAGTTTGAAGAGTTGAGCAAGTGAGTGACTCCCACTGAAATCCAGTGACTCCATCCCCCCCTTTTTTCTTCTAAATGTAACTACAAATGGTAACTAAGTTAAAGTTAACTTTTTTTCTACTTTAAATGTCAGGGTTAGAGCTTCCAGGCCACATTTTATCTGTTAGTACCAGAAATTAGTTAAGACCATTGATCATTCATGATGGATTTTTTTGAGCCAGAACCTGGATACAAGCAGACAGCAGTTTTCAAGGGGTCATTGTAGAAGGAAGCTACTTCCATTTCAGCTGGCACCTCCATGCTGCCTGCTTTTAATCTGCTCACTTGTTTCTCACTTAAGCTACCTACCTCTTAAAATGGATGGAACTCCAGGGAAGTCTAGCCCCTAGTCACACTCAGAATTGAGTTACTTTGAAGTCAGTTAAAAGGCTACAGATTGAAATTGGTAGAATTACAGCAAATCTAAGAAACTGGGACTTCCATACCAATGTAGTCCTTTGAGAGTGGGGAGGAGAACAGGAAACCTCACACCTATGTCAGTGCATTCTGTGTCCCTCAACATGTACCATGGAGGACTTGAGGCTAGCTGCCCGAAATGCTCTTGATGTTGACTGTTATAGGGCCAATATTAACCAATATATTTATTAATTTTACTGCGGTGCCATATTTGCCAGTGGGAGGTATTTTGTAACATCATTTGCATGGAGGCAGGGAGAGAGCTGGGGATCCTTGGGAAATAGCCACCTTCCCTTCCAGGTTGGGACCCTCATTTTGTGTCTCTCATCAATGGCTCATTGGTACAGTCCCGTCACCTTGTGATAAAATCACTTGAGACCCTTTCATCAGTTGATAAAATCACTTGAAGAGCCTTTTTTCAGTTGACTATTTGAGGACCGACCATATGGCGTTTTGTTTGAGTTTTACTGTCATGTTGTAACAGCATCTCAGGCTGCTTTACAACAACACAGAAAACTACTCTTTGATTTTTTTTTTGAGCTATGAGTGTAGTATCAATGTTACGTTACTTGTTCTAATAAAGCTAGAGGGCTTTTAAGCCTGCCTTCTTCCTCACAGATAGTTAAAATATTCTTTTCACAAACAGAGTAATGGACAGATACACGTATCACTTGCAGTCTGTGTCACACTCTCATAGAAAGGGCAGGTGTATATTTTTACTCCCTCTATAGAGATCTGACAAAAAATTAATACAATAGAACAGTTTCAACCTAGCAGAGAGAAAAGAGCAAGCTATAAAAATTCATCACAATTTTTTTTAAAAAAATGCATACAAAATAAAACCAGTATCAGCTAACAGAGGGAGGGAGATACAAAATCTTCAGGGAGATAACTGCAACACAGATAGAACAGTGGTCCGTTGCTAAGATACCAAAGAAAAGCATCCAGACTTAACTGTTTGCTTCTCCAGGTACCCACAGAGCTTATTTGTATACATGAAGCTAAACTGAAGAAAACACCATTAGGAGTACCCTTGAAACCTCTTCAGAAGGGTGTAAGTATGCTTTTAGACATGTACTCTTTTCATAATTTTACATACATCTGCTGGTCAAATGGCAGTTGAGCAGCTTCTAATTTGAATAGAACTCTTTGGAAACTGTAAGGAGAGACTCCAAAGTGAGGGGTAAGTTCACAAACCAATTTCTGACATGCTAAAGTCACCATTGGACCAATTCATCCTGTGAAGTATTATTGATGTGTTATTGTGCAGATCTAATTTATTTTAACAGGAATCATGTGAGAAGAATGGATAGTGTTAAATAAGTACATGTGTGATTTTTCCCCCCCTGAATGGCTTGTGGCTTTTAAATTCTAGAAAGAAATTATTTAAATTATACTTCTTCCTGCTCTGATATCAACCCTAATTTCTTCATTTATTTCAGTGTGTAGGCAATTTTTTGATCCACAAAACTGCTTGAAGCAGTTTCTGAGGTGTTAAAAATATGGACGTATAATGGAAATCTGTGACTCAGAATTTTTTCCCCCCAGATCCGTGTTAATTTTAGTGCTTTGAGAAGAAGCTATGGAAACTGCGTACCTCAAAAAATGTTTAGGCACATGCTTATCAGAGGGTCTTGCTGAGGTGGCAGAACGTCGACCTGCAGATCCAATACAGTACTTGGCCTTCTGGATTTACAAATATAAGAAAAATATGGTTGAAGAACTACAGGTAAGGCCTCTGCTTCTAAATTCTCTACTGTCAGGATCTTCAAAGATTACTTGGAGTGGACGATGTGACTCTTCAGATATTCCTAGACTATAACTTGAAATTCTTGATTATTGGCTTGATAGAGCTGATAGGAGTTGCAGTCCAACAACATTTGAAAGGCTGTACTCTGTCCACCCCCTGCTATAAATGCCTAACTGGGAGTAAATCCCATTAAATTCAGATGTTTACTTCTGATTGAAAGAATTGTACTGTACGATTCCAGTACTGTTAGCCAGTCTATAAAAGGCAATTTCTGGAGCTTTTTGATACTCAGGGAAATGATAAAATATGAAACAATTTCCACTTTCCTCTTTTTTTTAAAAAAATTGCACTGTTAGAGGAAGCTGGAGAGGGAAGAATTGGAGCGAATGCGGGAAGAAGCCCAAAGAGAAATGGAAATGTTAGAAAGAATGAAAGAAGAAGAACTTTTAATTCAGCAGAAGCTTGAAGAAGAGAGGCAGGTAAGATAACACACACAAAAGAAGTACTATATCTTCAGTGCCCTCTTCTCTTTCTTCAATTTCCACACATTATCAAGCTGGGGGTTGGGGGTTCAGACTGCAGGATTTAATAAAATAATGTATATCCTGTTTTTTGGCCTTGAAAAGGGTCTTCAAAATGATTTTCAACGTTAAAATAATAGTAATAATAATACCATGAACTCAGAAAGTTAATGAAAACAAGCCAACAAAATTAATCTTCAGCAAGTATGAATTAAAACCAATTTAAAAAGGCATATAAATGTTTCTAAATTGCTTGTACAGAAATTGTTAATGCTAACAAATATCTCCAAATTGTACTGTTATGCAAAATAATAATAATAAAAGATGGCAATATCTTTGTTAAATCAAGAATATATCAAAAACAGGGAAGCTTTTGAGGTTTTCAGGAAAGTCCAACAGATATGGTGCCCCGGCCATAAAAGCTCTGTGCTTTCGGGAATAAACTAGCCTAGATCTTTCTCCCTGGCAAAGATAAAACCCAAGGTGCAAGTAGGAATGTAGGCCGGTATCATTAGAAACAGCAAAAATTTTCACCACCATTATTTCAGTAGCCTAAAGGAAATTAATGCACCAAGCACATGGAATTACATCTTCCCCATTACTTAAAGCATATATCATAAAACCTAAAAGGAACTGTTATATGGGGGAAGATATATGGTAAAGGAAACTTGTAAAAAAGTGGAGTAAAGAAAACTGGACACTTTCTCCTGGGTTGGCAAAAGTGCTTGTTTACTTACACAAGAGATTATGTGGCATGATCCAAGGCTATATTATTATTATTTATTATTATTATTTTCATTTATATGCCACCTTTCTCCTGATAAAGGGACCCAAGGTGGCTCACAATATTAAAAGGAATAGAATTAAAAACATAGTAAGTTAATTTAAAAATAAATAAATTATATGCTAATTAGTTAATTATATGATGAAATGTGTTTTTATATAGATGTTATCTGAGTGCAGAACTAAAACATCCTAGCCAGTGTTTAGGGGACACCACCAACCACCAAAGCAAAAACATGCTTCCAGAAGTGAAAAAAAACTGATTTTTGTCCCTGAAATCTCTGCAGTGGCTTGGGGGGTGAAGCAAAAATGCCCTTGAGGACCACAGGCAGCCTATGGGTCACATTTTGCCCAGCCTTGATTTAAAGCACAAGTCTGCTGTGCACACATCTGGATGTTGATAATGTATTTTGGACACTGTCATAGAGTAGCCACCACAATTGTTTAGCCATTTCCTTCTCCACATTTTCTGTCATGTCTATATCAATATTATATCTAACATATGTTACTTAAGTACTATTTGTTTTACCTCACCTTAAGAACCACCCTGTCCTGCCTTTACCTTGATTAGTGATCCCTTATTTCGGTTTAATTCCATTTTCTAATATATAAGATATGTCCCCTTACAATTCCAGAAGTTAGGTGTATACAGTAAATGCTTTAACATTGAGGACCATCTTAGTATTTTTTTTTTCCTTTGCATCTTTCTAAGTAACTCTTTCTCTTGTTTTTCTTTTTCCAATTCTTATTCCTATCCCTCTAAAAATTCTGCCATCCCTTATATCATCTGAGATCATTTTATGCACTTGATTTATCTCCAGTAGATCTTCTAGGCTATTTTAAATTAAATCTGTTGTTTCTCTCCCCTTAGCTTCCCTTAGCACACCTAAGACTCTCCTCGTCTCCAGGGTTAGAACTAAATCTCCTAAATTTTCTCCTCTGATTTCCTCCAGCTCCTCCTTTGGTTGGCATACATCATCCATCACCCTCACATTTCCTTGTTCATTATTCCCTATCTCTTGTTGAATATAGTTCTTCCTTAAATGCTCATTGAATAATTTCTCCTCTTCGTTGTGGGATCTCACTATTTCTAAAATTGCTTGAAAAGTAGCTTTTGTTTCATCCCAAAATTTTCCTTGTAGCATTATGTCCCAAAATGTCAAATAATTGTATTCCAAGTGAAAGATGTCCAGTTGCTTAAAGTAACCAGTCCCAGTTACATCAAGAATTGCTTCAATAAGTCCACTTTAATAAATTGAACATCTTTAGGGTTAAATTTGAATCCAGTCTCAGATGTCCTGTTCACTCGATGTTTGTATTCATGACTTAATGTCTTTTGTAATCCAGCCCCTGAAGCAGTCCATTCCAATATTAATTCTATCCCGGCCTGTGTTCCAGTCAGGTTCAGAATCCGGGACACATCCAGATATTTTAATTGGTCCACATAGGTCCACATTAGTCAGATATATATTCCAAGATGAATTGTCTTTGTTGAGATCTCAGCAAGGTGCAGTTTAAAAATTCCACTTTAGCAGAATTAGACTTTCCAGGGTTAATTTATCTATGCTTCAGTCAGTTCTCAGAAAAAAAAGGGAAGTCAAAACAATTTCTAGGCTTAAGACGGCCATAGAGTGTTCAAGGTCATTGTTCTAGGCTTTTTGCCAACGCTGTAGATAGCCATAACATAGCCATAACTTAACAAGTTTAATTCCCAGAGTCGTTTAGCTAATAATGATTTTAAGAGAAAGATTGCTTAAATTTTTAACACTAAAGAATACCAAACTTCCTTCCTTGAAGTATCATTAAATGTCTAATTAGTGTCCAATTTATTTTCTTTGCATCTCTTTGCATCTCCTTCCCTCTCTCCAAATTAACCGCTGCTCTATAAGTGGTAGGGATAAGAGACACTTATTTCTGTAATAGCGATTATCTCATCCAGGGATAGTCATAAAGCAGTGTAGTTATAAAATATTACCTCACCCAGAGGTAACAACAATGTTAATTAGCTGATTTACCGCTTCTCTATTGCAAGCGAGCTATTCAGCTGCTTGCTTCTGCCTGCTGGTTGATTGGGGAGTTTCCGGATCAAAATGGGGGTAACTGTCGTCCCCCCCATGTTCAACAGGCTTCTTCCCCAATTCACCACCTGTTCGGGGTTGTTTTAACCCCCTGGAGCATCCCAAACAGGTCGGACTTCAGCCCAGGAGACGGAGCTCTATCCTCCTGCTGCTGTCTCATTGCAGTGTCAAACCGGAATAGAGCCTAAATCTCTTGTTTATAGTAGATAACTGAGGAGAAAAAGTTTGTTAAATAATGAGTAAAGGATCAACTTAAGAAATAACAATTAGTAATTGCTGCAAAGCAAAGAGACACAATGATAAATAAGCCCTATTTTCAGTGGTCCATGCATCAGCTCAAACTGAACAATGTATTTATATCACCTGTAATTTTAAAAAAGGAAGATGTAAATAGTAGGACCCCCTTATGCAATGATTTACTTATCTATAGTTTGAAAATATTAAAAGGAAAAAAATGTAGGAAAAAAAAACTGTTTTCACATGCATTACCAGAACCAGCCACTGGATGGAGCCAGAGACCATGTTCCGAATTTTTTTTTAGTGAAGAATACATAATATGGTCTCTGGTGCTCTCTAGTGCCCAGTTCTGGTAATGCATGTAAAATAATTTGTTCTGTGTTTTTTTCTCTTCCTTTTACCATGGTATTATCCATGGTTTTCAGTATCCATGGGGGATGTGGAACCAATCCCCAGTTGATATGGGGTTCCTACTGTATTTCAACCAGAAATTCTGCCAAAGTTAACCATCTGGAAAGGACCAAAGTATGTGGTATATGCAAATAGTGATGAGAAAATTGTGACAATCTCTTCTTCAAATAAAAATTCTTCTCAGTAGAGGAGATTTTGTCTGCTTTTCCACTCTGACTCCAGAACACGTTTTAAGGCCAGCATTTACCTTTGCTTTAAAGGAGTGCTGTTTGTCTATCTCACACTCTCACTGAAATCTCTTATAGCAAGGGCCACTGCTTCTGTGCTCTTCACAGTACCCAGCACGTTGCTGGTACTAAATAAAGGTTGAGGACTAAACTCTCTTGAGTTAGTGCAGTCTAGCCTACATATAGCTGGCTAGATAGTTCAGTGGTTTAGGCATCTGGCTGCAGAATCAGAAGTTGGGAGTTCAGTCCCTCACTGCACCTCTTGTAAGTAGAGCCAGTCTGTGCGGTCTTGGACAAGCTGAAGAGTTCCAGGATGTCCCCAGAAGAAGAAAATGATAAACAACATGTGAGTATTATCTACCTGGAAAATCCTGAAAAGGGTTGCCATAATTGACTTTGAAAGCATCTGATGATTAGTCTACACATGTGGCAGAAGTGGTAGAACCTTCAGCTAGAGAAGTGGATCACCTCACCTCCCATTTCCCACAATACAAGTCCTAGCATATAAAGATAAAGAGTTTCCCCAATTTTTTTTAACATCAGTTCCTGAGGTTTCAAAGCTATGCATTTTACTAATTGGATTATTGGATAAAATGGCTGCAGGCGCAGATGGAAAGAGAGCGGGAAGAACGGGAAAGGATAGAAAGAGAGAGAGCGGAAGAGTTCCTGTTAGAACAGAAGCGACTAGCAGAGATGGAGGTAAGATAAGCACCTTCCTCAGGTTATTTTACTATGCCATTACTAGGGTGGGAAGATTGGGCAAAGTCGGTTTTCCTCAGGTTCTGTTTTTTCCATTGATAAGTTCATTCAGTTCAGTTCCATACTTTTGTTTTGTTTTGTTTCACCCTTACAATTTTTAAATGTAGTATGCACAAAAAGACTTGTATATATTGATACGGACTACGGAAATGTACACATTTCATGCCTATTTTTTAATATCTGTATTTCTGCAAGTAACACTAACAATGGGATTGTGTATACATTTTTCAATTAAACTTTTTGTAATATCTGTATTTCTGCAAGTAACACTAAAAATGGGATTGTGTACACATTTTTCAATTAAACTTTGTGTGTGTGTGTGTGTGTCAAAATACATACCATTGCTGACACATTATATCACAGGTTTTGTAAAAGAAATATGGTTGTCAACATCTAACCATGTTCCAGTTTGTGTTCAGATTTGGGAAATGTGAATTTGACATGTTTGCACAGAAATACAAACCCTCAACCATCCCTAGTCAACACTAGTGAAATACAGTCATTTCTAAATAATGTTAAGGAGGGCATCTATCAACCATCCCTAGTCAACACTAGTGAAATTTCTAACTAATGTTAAAGAGGGCATCTGTCAGACAGGTCCTATCACTGTGTTCACTTGCTATTTCTTTGACAGGTGTTCTTATTGTCATATTTATAATCGCTTTCTATGGAGTTCGTACACACAAGTTAATCCTGTGTCTGGACTCAAAAGAACACAGTATGAAAAGCTAGTTTGAAATACAGTGAGTCAAATGCCCAAAGTCAGAGAGCTTCATGGCCAAGCAGGGACTTGAAATCAGAAGACCTTCCAAAGTGCAAGAGAAAATCCACACAAACACATTAATAAATGGCTGGGTTTTTAGAGAAAATGACAAAAATGCTTCTTCATTACATTTTGACACCGTGTCTTGAGGTAATTTCTCTTCAACTTGCCAGTCAGATTCTTTGGCAGAAATAAAAGTTTAATTTTTAACTCAAGCTCTAAAAAGTTCAAATAATTTGCTGGTCACACGTCTGTCCCATTCATATTTAAAACAGTGGGTGAGATTGAAAGTCCTTTTTTTAAATAGTGTTTTTTAAAAAAAAAAACATCATAACAGTGATACGGTTAACTGGACCTGAAGTTTCTCGCCTCATGTAACTTACTTTGCTTTCTCTTACTGAAGGCATTTTTCACACAACCTGGCTTACTTACTGTATTGGAGCCATTTTGTGTGTTTTTAAGTGTGTGCTGCTCATGATGTGGTGTGCCAGAAGATGTTCAATGACTTTTGCCTCCCTGCTTCTTAAATGTTGCAAGTTAATACACATATTCACAGCTTTATACAGTATATAAATAGGGCTAATAGATGAATAAGCCACCACTATGGCTTTTGTTGTCCCTGGTTTGGTTCCAAGGTCTGTACATAAATCCACAGAATACTTCACTGAGAGACATAGCAAATGCATTGGACCCTGACCCTTCTGTTTCAGGAGCAAATGCACACTTAGTCCGATGCCCACAGCCTTACCCTTAATCTTCAGAGATTACTCTAAACAGTTTATAAAGCTGAGTTCTTCCTATTTTGATTTCCTACTCTGTACAATGGGTACACGTGCAGTTGTCAGTACAGCCAGTTTTGAGATGGTAATTGTTGTGCTGTAGAAAAACTTAAAGTTATGTCTTGGGAATTTCTTCTAGTATATTCCTGAAAAACATGCCTATACGTTCAGTTTAATAAAATTCACCTGACTACCAAGAATAATCAATACAGTAGTGCCTCAACTTACAAACTTAATTGGTTCAGAAAGATGGTCGTAACTCGAAATGGTTGCAAGTCGAAGCACCATTTCCCATAGTAATGCACTGAAATGCAATTAATCCGTTCCAACCAAAGAAAAAAATCACACACACACACACACACACACACAAATAACTGCAAGACCGGTTGGAAATGCGATTAATCTCTTCCAGCTGAAGGGGGGGGAGAAGACAAGCAATCAGCCATGCAAGACCCATTGCAAATGCAAACAAGACAAAGCAAAAAGCAATCAACTGTGCAAGACCTAATGCAAAGAAAACAAACCAAAAACCAATGAAACGTGCAAGACCCATTGCAAATGCAAACAAGACAAAGCAAAAAGAAATCAAGCAGATCGTGCAAGATCAGAAAACAGGGAAAAACCCTAAAAAGCAAACAAACTCCCCAAGACCCATCGGAAATGGGGGGGGAATCTAAAAAGCAAACAAACAACCAAACCCCCCAAGACCCATCGGAAATGGGGAGGAATAAACAAACAAACAAAAAACAACAACCCTCCAAGACCCATCACAGCACAGAAGCATAACCTCCCCCACACTGCAAAAACATCCAGAACAGTTTATAAAAAACAGAAAACAGCACCTTACCTTACCAGGCAAGCTCCCTGCAAACACACACATGTTCACTCAGAAGCAGAAGCCAGGCAGTCCACAGCCTCCTCGGATCGCACTCACTCTAACCATCCAGGCAAAAGAACTACAAAGAAGCAGCCTCATCACCACCTACAGTTAGAAATTTGAATTTCCCACCGTTTTGTTCCCTGCCTTTTTCTGTTCATAAGTGGAAGCTCCGGTCGCAAATCGAAGCAAAATTTTGCATCCAGAGCTGGTTGTAACTCAAAATGGTCATAAGTAGGGACATTCGTAAGTCGAGGCACCACTGTACCGTCTACAGAGCCTCTCTCTGTAAGAGAGGGTACAATAGAAAATTGGACAGGGTACAATAGAAAATTCATTGGATCTTGTGAGGGTTCGTTTGGAAGGGGTGTTGGCTCCCCCATAAATGGACGAGACGGTGGGGATAGATCAAAAGGTTCTGTGTTTATTTCTGCATTAACATTAACCGGGTTTCCCCCTACAAAGGGGTTCAGGGATTCTTGTAAAACATGGCTTGGCTTTAACGGAGTCCACAAACTATGTACAAATGGGTTCGTCGTCTCTGGGTTCCAGGGACCTGTTGTAGGTGGCACAGTTCCCAGCCCAGGGTCCAAAGCTTCTTCCAAAGAGATTAAAGGTAACGTCTCTTCATCTCCGCTCCAGCCATCCCAGGATGACCCATCTCCTCCATCCGTACCCCAGGGGCCGGGTAACCCCCCAGTTTCCTCAGCTCGGCGATATGCCATTGTTTCTTTCTTTCCAACTCCCGGGCAACGGCTTCTCTTTCCTCGCGAAGCTTCCTCCTCCACTCCTTAGCCTCCGTTTCTCCCCAATAAGAGGGTCGGGGTTTCAATCCTAACTGCCACCGCTTTTCGGCCTCCTCATGAGGAACCCGGACCTGTTCCCACTTATGGGTCCAGGGGTCCTCCATCCACACCCATTCCCAACCTCTCGGTATATCCCTCGGCTTTTCCCTTATATCTCCTACCCCAGCCTCAATCTCCCCCCCCCCGGTTTCCCGCCAGAACTCGTCCCGGTTCCCGGGTGATTTTTAACTCTTTCATAACTTCCTCCAAATCATGGGTGTCTACCCCCTTGTTCAGGGCAAGGGATCCGACGCTTTCCTTCCCCCAATCAGGGGTCTCCACACCTTTATCTTCCCGTCGCGGTGGGGATGGTGGGGGAGATGTCTGGGTGTGATGGGTGCTCTTCGGGAGCGACGGCACTCCTATCATAGCCTCCATCTTGGGAGCCTCACAGATCTGTATAGGAAAAGTGAATGAGGCCCATATACAGATCCAATTCCCCTTTATGGTGTTTCCAAAGGAGAATGCTGGCTTACAGGAGCTAGTGCCTATTCAGTTCAGAGGTCTATGATAGTTATGGAATGGATTATGCCCTGTCAATGAGTGTATGTCACAGAGGTTTTATTCAGCTGAATACACAGTAGATTTTACTAACTTGTCATGGTCCTGAATTTTGAATTCCAGGCAAAGGCAGCGGCAGAACAAGAGGCAGCATCAAAGACCCTAGCCCAGTTAACTGATAAATATGGTGCTCCTAATTTGAGTAGGGTGGATGAGATCGATGAAATGGAACAATCTGAGGTAAGCACAATTTTTTAAAAAAATGCAAATCATACACTGTTGAATCCGACGCTTTCCTTCCCCCAATCAGGGGTCTCCACACCTTTATCTTCCCGTCGCGGTGGGGATGGTGGGGGAGATGTCTGGGTGTGATGGGTGCTCTTCGGGAGCGACGGCACTCCTATCATAGCCTCCATCTTGGGAGCCTCACAGATCTGTATAGGAAAAGTGAATGAGGCCCATATACAGATCCAATTCCCCTTTATGGTGTTTCCAAAGGAGAATGCTGGCTTACAGGAGCTAGTGCCTATTCAGTTCAGAGGTCTACGATAGTTATGGAATGGATTATGCCCTGTCAATGAGTGTATGTCACAGAGGTTTTATTCAGCTGAATACACAGTAGATTTTACTAACTTGTCATGGTCCTGAATTTTGAATTCCAGGCAAAGGCAGCGGCAGAACAAGAGGCAGCATCAAAGACCCTAGCCCAGTTAACTGATAAATATGGTGCTCCTAATTTGAGTAGGGTGGATGAGATCGATGAAATGGAACAATCTGAGGTAAGCACAATTTTTTAAAAAAATGCAAATCATACGCTGTTGAACATCAGGTCCAGCATCCAAATTTCAACAGTAGCTAACTTGATGATTTAAGAAGCCCAGAAATAGGCCATGAAAGCAAAGACTTTCTGTCATTATTGCTCCCCAGCCATTGCCTTTCAGTGGCATATGGCCTCTGAACTGGCGGTTACATGTAGCAATCCACCATTGATAGATCTGCATTCTCTGAAATTCTCTAATTGCTTCTAAAGTTAAATCACCTAGCAACTACCACTGCATCTTGTGGCCATGAAATCCCTTAAATTCCTTAAGCTGTTTGTGAAGAACTCATGTGTTGTGTGCCATGAAGCAGGTGCATTGGAGTCTACAGATATGCAGAAGTTGCACAGTTGTTCATATCTTGGCCAAAGAGATCTCCACCCTCACTTGCCCTGAAACACTGTCACTGACATTTTACTAAAATGCATCAGCTGGTTTATTTAAGATGAGTACTTGATAAACTACTACCTACGTTTATGGCATTTAGAATGTAGGTCTAACTCCCATTGGAAATGCAAACTACTGATTTAGCACAGGAATTTCTAGAAAGCAAAGCAAAAAAGCAGAGTGAAGTGTGCTGATTATATAGTGCTACATAGTGCTTATAGCACTCTCTGAGTGTTTTACAATTTTAATTACATAGGCTACACTTTGNTTTATTTATTTATTTATTTATTTATTTATTTATTTATTTATTTATTTAATTTATATGCCACCCACTCTACCCAAAGGTCTCTCATGAACTGGGTAATCAATTTGCCAGTCTCAGAAAGACTGGAAGGTTGAGTCACCCTCAAGCCAGCTACCTGAGCCTTGTTAGGATCGAACTCAGATTAAAAACAGAGTCTTCAATACAGTTTTAACCGCTGCACCACGAGGCTTCTTATAATACAAACTAGATACAAAGAAAATCATACTACCGATCTCTTCCATTCTTCCAGGATAGTGGTTGACAGGGTTTGAATAAACCTGAAATTGTTAAATGCAGTTTAAGCACAAAGAGAGTAAGTAATTGTAAGAAACAGCACTGTAAAGGAGACCCAAGCATGAGTGTAGACAGCTGTGTTAGAATGTACCAGAAGGGTGGCTATGATTGGTTAACTCTAGTATATAGCTGGAGACCTAGAATACAACAGTGTGGGTTGTTGCTGTATCGTCGTGAAGTACTGTAGTCGTGGAGCCATGCCTGAGAGTACAGAGGAAGCCGTACCTACGTGCTTGGAGAGTGGAACTCTGGCTGAACGGACTGACTATATGGTATATGACTATTTACTGGACTGTGACACTGATTTAAGGCTCTGTGACTGTGAAACTGTCGTGTATAGAACAAGGACTGAAGCTGTAAATATCTGTAAATATTCTGCATGTAAACCAAGTATTTCTGCTACAAGAGTGTTTGCTGACTGTGTCTGCACTTCACTGGGAACTCTGCCGGTTATCACCACCTGGGAAAAACCTGGTAAAATTCCGCTACCTCTGTCAATGGTTATGGGCCCAGCGGTATGCCAAGGGACACGCCCAGGAAGATACCGGTGAGTTTGCTGACCAGAAATATCCGGAAGGAAGTGCCAGAGGTGTCCAAGTAGCAGAAGTGAGTAGAACAGCTTTGTCCTGCACTGTGTGAAAAATGGCAAGTGAGCTGCAAATGTCAGGACTGTCTATCAGTAAGCTGAATGGAGATAACTACTCCACCTGGCAGCAGAGAGTCCAGTTATTGCTCCAGAAGGGAGCATTATGGGACATTGTAGTGAATGCACCAGCTGTGCTAGATGATGGAGAGAAGGTAAAAATGACAAAGCACTTGCAATCATCGGTCTGACTCTAGAAGATCGTCTCCTAGTCCACATAAGAGGCCAGACTTCAGCAAGAAAGGCATGGGAGGACCTGAGGGGACTCTTTGTACGAGTCAGCGTGGGTAGCCAGATACAAATTGCAAGAAGGCTATTCCGTACCAGATTGCAACCAGGTGGGAGCATGCTGCAACATTTAGAGCACATGAAAACTATGCTTATGGACTTAAGAGAGAAAAATATCACATTTACTGAAATTCAG